AGAGCGTCCACCAATGTGTTAGGAAACTCTGGGGTCGAGTGCCTGGCGTGCTGTTTCTCTTTTTGCTCAAACAATTTCAATACCTGGCCTACAATATATACAACATAAACAATCATCGGCCCATCAATCACCTAATTGAATTTGAATGCTGTGTGGTGCCCGTGCTAAAAATATTTATTCTCGCCATTTGCAACAAACGCATTCAAATGCTCAATCAACAGCTGAGGGAATATCTCTTGCGCATTGAGTTGCTCCATTGGAATTGGCTCGAGTCTGGACTGGAATCAGCTGTGGCCATTCCATTTGCCAAGATTTTAAGCCGTAAGGTGAGTGAGTGCCAAAATTTGAAGGAGTATGCCAAACGCTCAACTCTCCTCACTCTTTACAGAACTCCTGGTTTTATCTGCAGCTGCTGGCAGACCCGATGGAAGCATTCAATGGTAAAATGGGATTTAATATAAATTTCAGATTTCGGTTCCTATTTACTTCTGTTTTATATTTGATATTGCATTTTACGTATATTGATTAAACTCGAATATACTCTGTTTTGAGGTGTTTTAGTAGACAATATGAAGCGCAACATGTTTGCATAATTTCAATGTGTTTCATTATTCATAATGGATTCAATAAAAAAAAAAAGAAATCTCATTATATATAATTATATATTTTCCGTGAAAATGAATGATTGATGCAAGTTTAACCTATATATTAAAGGTCATAAATGCCTAATTATGAATGCCTTCATCCTTTTCATTTTGCTAGCTCAAATAGCACTCAAAACATAAACAAATTTAATCAGAATAGAATGAAGTAATTCATTATAAACCTACCACTGAACTCTAAAAAATTGACACGTATCGAGTTTTAAATCTCACAGCTTACACATTCAATTTATAAATAAATTTAAAAATAAATTCTAACAGGTAAACAAACCTTTGCAAAGTATTAAAAATGCTTGCGAAAAATTATAGTTTTTTAGTTTATATATTTTTTCGATCAATAAATATATTAGCATGCTTATGGTGGATGCATTAATACTCGTACTTACTGCAAATATTGATAATAATTTAATGGGCGCTCTTTCAACTCGCCTAAGGTATTGCGCTGCTCTTAAGGCATGCTTAGAATTAAATTCGAGAGCAATGAAAATGATGGCTTACAAGGCTAAAACACTTAAGATTAGGTAACTAGGCTAATTGTGCTGGGGCTTCACTTCACTTCATCAGMGCCGTCGCCGGCGTTGGCGGCAACAGAGATAATTTCTCAAACTTTTGCATCGTTTGGCTAGAGGCGGGCAGCTCAATCAGCTCGGCATCTGGATTATATGGATAGTTGGGATTGGCGGCGGCCAGATCGTTGACGGCAATATCATTGGAGAGATCCACGGGAGCAAAGCTCTCGTAGATGTCAATGTGATTATTCAAATCGTTGTCGGGGTCTGCAGCTGCAACGGCAGCCGCATCTTCGTCCAATGTCGCCCATTCATCGTTAAAGGTCTCGCTCATCTCGACGGGCGTTGCACGCTCATCGTCATCGTCTGAGGACTCCAACTCCTCGCGTTCCCTGTACAGCTGCTCTGATTGTGGCGCGGCCAACTCGTCATCCAATGCGTCGCCAAAGTTTTCAATGGCTGCCAAGGACTCGGGCTGCGACGCATTATGACTGTCGCTGTCTGGCAGCGGCATTTCCGTTTCCTCATTATGCGCCATTGTGTCGCCATCTTGAGCTTCGGCCAGCTGCTGCTGTTCCACCTCCAACTCCAACTCCTGTTGCTGCTGCTCATGCTGCTCATGCTGCTCCTCCTGTTTCAATTCAGCCATTGGCTCGGCCATTATGGTTTGCACAGTCTGTTTGATGTCTGTGGCGTCTGCGTGGGAATCTAGTGCGGCGTCTTCTGCAGATGCAAGGGGGCTTGTGGCTGTAGTTTCTTTTGTTCTCGTGCTCTGTGTTTAATGAGTGACGGGTGCATCGTTGTGCGTAGGTGAATATATATGTATATATGTGTGTGTGTGTGCGTGTGTATGTGTAAATAAATTAAATAAAAGTTTTTATTACTGTAGAGTTTGCCAATTATGTAAATAGTTTTAGTACAAGCACTCGTCCCATGCAAATTTTTAATTTAAGCATAAATGTAATAACAAAATAAATAGAATAACACAATTATTAAGGAATGAGAAAAAAACTTACAGCAGAAACTCTTTTCTATTTGCTACGCAAGATCGTACTAAAACGATGCTAATCAAAGCATTCTTTTTATACAAGCAGTGAGATGAAACTTCCAGCTCAAGATGACTCATATTGAGGAACTGTTAAGCTGGGCTTAAACTCACTGAATGAAAAAGAGAGTGAGGGAGAGAGGACACGTTATTCTGTTAGTCAGCTGGGGTTCTAAGCAGCGCTTACGCTCTCATACGTATGTCATTTAACAGTGATGCTCTCGCTCCAATTGGATTTATAAGCAGCTCTTAATTCACTGTCTGTTAACATTCGCTGTTACGGTCATCAGAAGCGCTTTATTCCCTTCCTGTTAACAGCGCAAGCTCTAACTCTCTCATAGCATTACTTGTTACTCAACTGGTTTTCTAAATAACGCTTTGTTCCCTTTGCTGTTCGCTGATTCGCTCTCACTCTCGCTTTTGACATTTAACATACGTAGCGTTCATTAACATTTCTGCTTAAATATGCATTGGCTCACGCATGATTCACCTTCGGGTCTGATAACAATTCGTTGAATTCTATTAATATACACCTTGCCAAATATAAATTAGCATGCAAAGAGCAAAGCGCCCCCGGCTTGTCATTCATACGATTTTGTTGGTCACTCGGTCGAGATCGTTGTAACCGTAACGACACAAGTTCATTTATAATTATTGCAGATGACAGCAGCCCCCAGCAAATGCATTTGCTTTTTTTTTTCCTATTCTTATTGTATGGCGCTGTGCCGTAAGTAATTGTACAAATTCGCAGAAATTTGTATTAATAATACAAAATGCGCATTAGCTGTCACAATGCCGAGTTTATTTTTATTTGCGACGCTCACTTAAATTTTTGAATGATTCTTATTATATAACTGGTTACGGGGCAAGGTAGGGTTATACAAAAACACACAAATATACATATGTATATAATATATAGTACAGCAGATGCTTGGCTGCTTAGCTAACGGCAAGATTGAGTCACGTTTCTTAACGATTGCTTCCGGGGAAATTCTCGAGAATTTAGTTTGTGTTGGCGCTTAAGCTACGGAATAGCCTATGCAAAATTATTATTTTTTAAAGAATATATATGTATAATTATATATCTGTTTGATATGAATAAATAGCATTTTCTTTAGGCAAATAAATTTTTTATATGTAATATGCATATATATATTATTGGTCTTATTTTTTTCATTTATAAATAAAAAACCTTGTGCAATTTTTAATTTTCCTACAGTTTTGTCAACTCATTTTCTTCGATTGAGGATTTCACTTTTGAGCAGTCTCTTAAGCAGCTGTTGAACATTGGTAAATTTATGACCAATTCTTATACATATGAGGCCGCACTCCTTGTGCAACAGCCCCTACTCCACACTCGTCTGAAAATTTGTTCGCAGCTTAACGCTCTATTTTACGCTGCATATTTGATGTGTGTTGTGCGGAGTTTACAGTTCACAATTCGCACAGCTCTCGTTGCGCTTTTGCTCATTTCACGCACACTTTGTAGCACGCACACTGCTTCGGGGCCCGACCCCATACGCAAACCAGTCCCCTCGCCTCTTAGATTTAAATGGCGTATAAAAAATAGTCGGGCCGGGCACATAACAAATTGAAATGCAAGTGCACAAAGTAATTTTTACAAAGTTGTAAAGGGCTTTCGACATACATATGCAATAAATGCGGTTTAAATATATTTTTTTGTGTGTGTATGTGAGTGTATATATAGAGAAAATAAATACTATATAATAATTGCACAGTTTTTTAATAGGAAAATATTAATAAAAATATTGCATACACAAGTACGTCGAGTTTTGGGACTGTTTGTGCCAAGCGACAGGCAAATTGCTTAACAGCCTTCAACAATTTTACAATATTTCCGCCAGGGGCTTAAACACACAGCATTGGCAGCAGAGACCGGGTGTATTCAGTGGGGGGGTGTACTTTATGTGCTACTCTATATTAATATTTATAGCCATGCACTTTACATATGTATATTCCAAATAAATGCATAATCTGAGTTTGGGGTGCCAAAAACCGCAGCTTTCAATATCCGCAGGAGAGATGAAAACAAATATAAAAAATTATATATATACATAGTTATATACAGCTGCATAAATTGAATAAATTGTGCGACTGTGCAATAGTTTTTCTTCCTGTCCTCAAAACGTTTTCCATTATTGCAGCATTTTAAATTTGTAACAATGTTGACATGTCGCACTTCGGCTTTAAAGCTGTTCATAATTTGCGCATTGCATATTTTTTACGCTCATTTATTAATTTTGCGTTGATTTATGTCATTATGGAAAAAGTGAAATGTGAAATATGTAAAAAGGAGGCGAATTGCAAGGCGGACGTAGTCGACTGCGTAATACTGTATTTTATAATACCGAATTTAATAGTGGGTTGATAGAAATAGTATCATGTACATCGTCGACTGTGACTGACGAAGTCCATTATTCCCGAATAACATATTTTCTATTTTCATTTAATTTCTTAGACTCTCTCTCAGTTTCTCCCTTTCTTTCTCTCTCTCTCTCTCTCTCTCTCTCTCTCTCTCTCTCACTCTGTGTATCTCTGTCTCTCTCAGTCTCTCTGTCTATCTCTATCTCTCTCTCCTCTCTGGATAAACGCAATATATTTTAAATATTTCCTTTTGACAAGCTCAAATTAAATATTATTATTTTTATTTTATT